CACGCAGACAAATCATGGACAAATAATTAAGAAGGAGAACCCGTTAATTTCTCAAACAATTTGATAATCATGATGATAACACAATTTCAATTTGATTGCTGATTGAGCGACATATCAGTGGGTCTATGTTAGCAGAAATGGACAATCTACCCTCAAATGTCGCCAAAACCTTCACGCACATTGAACGAACATCGATTTGGCACATTAAAAAAGACTGCTTGAAAAACTGCTTTTGTAAGCTGAAACATGAGTAGAAAGCATATGAAATACTAAAACAATATGAACAGGCACACTAGTTATCAAAAAAAAACATAAACACACAACGCAGAGATTTCTTGGTCCTTAAAACCGCCAAGGGTAGCTGTCACAAGCCCAAAGAGATTCTTTAGTAAATGGGAGAAAGTCTTAGCTTCACCGGTACAACTGGTCGGCGATCAGTGGCGCCATGGAACAGCGTGTCCATATCTAAACCGAATATTCGCACGCTGGTTTGCTCATGTACGGCTCGACAAGCGGATTCAGCCAACGCACTGAACACGGCCCTCCAAATACCGACTGCATGTTCTTCTTCCACGAGATCACTTTATGGCGATCTTCGTGTCCACTGAAAAAAATCGAAAAATTTGAATTTTCTGAACCGGCGCACACCTTTGCATTATTCGCTTGATGCACGAAAGTAAACACTCGAGCCATAAAATGCGACAACTATAACGATGGTCGCGAAGCGTACAGGCTGGCTCCATATCGAAAACGACATTAATAACTTGCAGTTTCAATATTTCACAACGGTGAGAAGCACGGTGAACTAGGTGTCACCGAGTTTTGGTAGACAATCTCCCACTTTCTCGCGATAGTATTCCAAACCACGACACCCCCACCCACCTCCCCTTTTGCAGCAGTTCTATCCATTCTACCTACAAGCACTTTATTAATAGCTAAGGGAATCCGTTCAGAAAATCGTCCAGCATATAGGGAATACAGATTCGATATCGGCTCAGAGAGGCTTCAAGTGGTACAAATCCCATCTAATGGCCAATTCGACCCACCATCTTTCCCTTGCTAACCTCGTATCACGTAGGGCAGTAAATACGTGACCGAACATTACAAAAATGTGAAAGTTGGAATTCTGCAAGCTACTGACTTCAAGTACGCTTCAAGCGCTCCTAATAACTTGAACTCTCTTTGCTTGTCTGCATTTTATGTAGAATATCGAAATTTGTAGCTGCAATAACTCCATACCGTTTTAAAGTCTCAATAGCTGTTTCGTCGCTGCATATTGCCGACAGTTGAGTGCCAAACATGACCGATGTGAAAATGGCGAACAAAATTGCTTCGAACATGAGAAAAATCTGAAAGAGAGATTATTGGTTCAGCAAGAACACAACAGACCAAGTTCTATTATACAAAGAGGTGTACTGGTAGCGGTCAGAAAGGCTCTATTTATGGAGGTCACGCTGATCTTGCAAATCTTCCCACAAAAAGACCTTTCGCCCTTCAAGGCAGTTTATTTGCTAGATTGCCGAAGGAAAAAAAACTGAGATGTGGGCACGGCGGCTCTCGCAACAACCAACAACCAGGTGTTTTTATGGCTGTGCAACCCCACCTTGCCAGGATTCTGTATAGAAGTGGAATGCATGCGTAACATTTCTAGAAGGAAGCGTCGGGGACAAACCTCTCACAGGATTTTTCTTAGTAGTTGAATTTAACGCCAGTTACTGGCACACGCGGATAGTGATTACGGGTGACCAAAACGCTTGGGCCAGGGTACTGGTCGAGAAGCAATAAGCGTAATTAGATCAGACTTCTCAAACAAAACAAAGTCTATAGGAACACAGCACAGCCAAATTTTCAGTTACAGAAGACAACTACGTGTATACTTTGTAGTTTAGATTCTTTTTGATATAATGTAATTCCGTGGTGTCCACTGCTCAAAGACGGCTCAAGAAGAGCACCGTGAAAAGAAAGTTGAGACCCGCGAGAATCGCGCTGATAACGGGTCGCCAATAATCCAAGTAAGTATAATGTAATTCAAAAATTGTGTTGTTAACATGGTGAACCAATTTCCCCTCCCCAACCAGCAGCAATTCATGCGCAACTATTTGGTTGCATGCAGGTTGGGACGACAGCACCTACTGTGACAACAGCGCAGTCTGCAAGTGCTATCTTTACTCTCCAGGTCGCTAACCATCGAACATCGCCATTCAGGCACTGGTGAAGTCTATGAGCCAAAACGAGGAGCTTCGGTAACTTTGAGACAATTTGTTCCCTGAAAAACATTTGCAATGTTTCTGAAACCCATTTATCACCTGCGATGGTCAATTTACCTACAATTCTCGGAAATTTGAACTGCTATGTATATGCACTTATGACATCACTAAACAAACAACGCAGAGATGGCTCGCCCTGCGGCGCAAGGCAAGGCAATAATGTCAGAAAAACAGGGAACGATCTTATTCATTTTCTTGATGGACTCTGAGAACGGCCAATTTTCTTGCGGATAGGCTTTAGAATGATTTGTCTTTTGGTTAAGCTGTTCGTGAGATGCGCCTTATCTTAGATTTCACTATTCGACAAGCTGCGAAGATTGGCATTTTCGACGGTTTTCTGAATTCATTTTATTTGTTATTTCAAACATGTGAAAAATTCATCGCAAACTAATTTGTTTCTGCATAACAGTATTCATAATTAGAAAAAAAAAAATTAAAAAAAATGAAAATATAAAAAATTGCAGATTAGATCAAAGGATGCTGCTCGAGGGCTCGCATTGAAAGACAACTTCAAGTAAGCCCACGTTCTTACCTGCTTGCCCTCTAACATAAAGCTTGACCAATCATTTCACTAGCGAACACAAGAAATCACTTCTAGCCACTGCGTTTTCTCTTTAACCGACGGAACACCAAAACATCCAACTGCTTACCAGCATAAGTGTTGTTCCTGGTGGACCAAGATTGCTGCAGCTGTGCCATTCTTTTCCAACACAGAGAACAAATTGCCATATTCCCCAGTAAAGCGCATGGAATGACAACAACGCTATGTACATCTGAAAACAATTTATTGAGCTGTGGAAAAGCAATCATTCGGGTGGAAAATCCAATTATCCAGTGGTTCCTGGCATGCGGTCCTCATGCAAAATGAATGCCCCTCTCAGTGGAGAAACGCAATTTCAGTAATTGTTTTCTGCACTGCTGTCGATCAGGGCGACTTCAAAAATCAAAAAGAGTGGGATGGAACATATAATACTCAGGCCATTAAGGAAAAAAAATATAATCACGAGACAGAAGGTACACTCACAATGAAGCAACATTCGAGCATTTCACCCTTCTGTGCTGTTCTGATACCATTTGAGCTTTTAGAAAATTTGAGTCAACAAGTTCAGAGGATAGGGAGACATTTTCTTCCAATGAGCTACAGAAAGAGCTTATAAAATACATAATGGAGCACTACTTGTCGTCTGATTCACACAGCAGCATTGAATTTTGTATCAACTGTTTGGTGGATTGCACGATTACCAGACTTCTTGTCTCAACATTTGGCGATGATTTCCTGCACATTTTTCCTCACGCATGAAGGGAATCGTTAGAGAATAGGTCTGTGTTATGTATCAAAAAGTGCGGTATACTGACTTGCGGGCGAGCTTTCAATGACATCAAATCAGCAAAAATTGTCAAGCAATAGAAAAAACATCAGACAAAGTTATGGCGACTCGTAGAAAACCCTTCCAAGTACAAACATTTGAAGCGAGCAATACAATGTAAATTAGCAATATCAAAGTTTGTTTTGAAAAAAAAACTACCAGATACTTATCTAACCACCCTAAAAAAGAAATCAATCAAGAAATGTTTCCGCTACTAAAGCACAAGCTCTTTATCACAAGCTCTTGATAATTCAATTCCGAAAAAAAAATGTCTCGGTTTTTTGACAGCTGCGGAAACGTCTATCTTCATTACTTCATAGGTCCCCACCTACAGTGAGTTCGAATATGGTAATGGAAGATGTACATTGAGCCCAAAATTTGCACTCTATGTTTACCATTCCTAAGAGCTTCACCAACACG